CCCACCCACCTCCCTCCCTCCCTCCCTCCCTCACTCACTCGCCCCAACCAACTCCGATCAATATTGCACAGTTGACGCTTGCAAGCAGGTAGACAATGCAAACCATTTGCCACCTTCGAATGCACTAGTTCCACTGCACATGTGGAGATGACAGGTGTCAACTTGTGCCACATTGATCACCATCAAAAGTGGCAGTACCGAGCACTGAGACACAGTGCAGAGTGGTGCAGAGTGGTGCAGAGTGGGGCAGAGTGGTGAAGGGATGGAAAGGGAAGAAACAATTTGAATTGGAATGGTCCTGAAGAGGACCGTGACAACGTTCTAATTCGTGTAGGTTGTTGCAGAATACATACGAAGTGTTGACTGAGTGGAAACATTTGGAAGACACCGAGGAAAGATCGACGCTGCTTCACACTAATATCAACAACTGCAGTCGAAACCGCTTCCTATGGAGTAGCAGGTGTCGTCAGACAGGAATGATTCTCAACTTCCGAAAGAACAGATCTTCGACATGTAGAACGCGATCGATTCCTACGTGGTGCAGGTGATCGACCATGATGACTACTGCGATGACTCTTTCGATAGGACCACTTTCCATCTCCTCCTCCTCCTCCACGTCCTTTTGAATCATTAGTTGCTGTCTTTCGTTTCGAACGTGAGGATGATTCCGGGGCATTCGAGGTCTGCCTGGGAGGAATGGTTGAGATGGGACTGCGATCACGAGAACACTCGCGACGGCGTTCTCTTGACCCACGTCGTCGAGAAAAACGACCACTGTGATGACTGTATTCTCGACCGGAATCTTTTTCATATCTGTTTATAAATGGGAAATTAGGTTATAAACTCCAATCCTATGGACATAAAAACCGCATTTACACTAAATAGCAATTAGGTTATTTCTCACATATTTACTAAACAAATTGTGCTAGAGATGAAAATTACAGAAAAATCCTACTACAGACTACAATCAAAGATAGATTCTGGTGAGACTAATCCACAAGTCCGAAAATGCCATTTCCACAATTATCAGGCGCGAAGAAGAAGAGGAAGAAGAGGCTCCTACTAGAATTCATCTCGGAGGAGAAGAGGACCTCAATAACCTCTATTACCTAGACTTAATCAAAATATTGGTCAGAAACTTTCGCTCACTCAGCCCCACGAGAAATCACCACCTCTATCAGGCATGTGGAAATCATTTCTGCTTCAGTAGAATACGACTTAACCACAATCCTACACAATCCTACACAGTCCTGCACAATCCTACACAATCCTACACAGTACTACNAGGTATTTGATCAAACTGTGTTCAAGGTGAAAGTCTTGATATCGAGAATAGCGCTGTTGGTAAATAAGTGAATTGTTTTCCCATTTATAAATGAATTCCATTATTGGTTGATAATTGGAATCTTTTAATTAACAGGGAGTTGGAGTAGTTCACTCCCACATCCTCGTGTGGTTTGAGAATGCGTATGCTCACCATAATTGACCAATTGATTGCGAATACCGTGTCTTGTTAAATCACCTTGATTACCATTTTGATATATCCGTACCGTTATATCAGTGACAATGCATTGGTTAACATTTTTGTCACTTTGTAATTTGGCGAATACCTCTTTTCCTTTTTGTCAACTAATACCTCCGTATTCATCAGTCTTTCCAACTATTCCACCCAAAACCATAAAGAAATTCAGTTTCTCCTTCTTCGTCTACCAGGTTATTGTCCACCTTAATCTTCTTCATCTCCACTTCTTCTGGCTTAACCTCTTCACGCTCCTCTACCACGTAATTCATTTCCTGCTCTTCCAACACAATTCTAGGTTCGAAAGTCAGTTGAAAGTCATCACTTACGCCGCAGCTCCTTTCACTCACTTTCTTCTTCTTCTTCTTCTTCTTCTTAATCATTCCATCATCATCATCATCACCGTCACCACCACCACCATCTTGCAAACGTTGTAAAATTATATCGTTATAGGTGTTATTGAATCAAAGTTCTATTTCAGCATTTTTTTGTTTCCCTTTCAACTTATTTGCCATTTTTTTTGGGACATTCGATCTCTTTATTCAAATGGGTTAGAATTTATTCCATCTCATTTAAAACCCCATCGATCAAGCCAGCAACTAAATTTACATTCAATAACCGATACATTAAAATTATTGCTTTTACTTCTGAGACGAAATATTTTGAATTAAAATTTAATTACTCTTTTGAGAAATGCTAATCAATATACCTCTTAGAACGGGGAACATAACGTCACCACTTAACAAGTAAGCTCATTTGCACACAGACAGACATAAAGGTGTGGCCGTGGAACTTAGCTTTTTAAGTGCAGTAGTGTGTACGGAGAACTTACAGCCAACCGTCAACCCTTGCTTGCTTTATCAAATCCGCCATATTGGTATAATGACTAAGCTGCTCGAACTCAATCCGAATAATAGCATTCCATGTGATATCTGCTTTCCTTATAGCTTTGTGGTAGTTTATTTAGTGTTGGGAGTCTTTCCAAACTTTAGAGAATCTGCCATAGAGATTTTTGAGTATAGTCAAGGATTGTTAGTGCAGCAGTCCGCTACATATCTTCCTAATTGGATTGATTCAACAAAAGTATTAGCCGAATTCGTTCTTTAACTTTGTTAAAAATTAAATTTTCTCTTCTGCTCGCATGCCTGAGGCATTTCAAAGTTTTTGTATCTTTAAGCCTACAGTTACAACACTGTTATTTGACATTTTTAAAGACGAAAATATCATGAGCCACTTCATATATTTATCTTTCATTGAAAATGGAGTGGTTTAATAAGCCCAACTTAAGCACCATTTTCCATTGACCAGACTAGTGCTAGACCAGTTTGTTGGTAAATTAATCTAGTGTAACTAGTGACATTTCTTCATTAGACGTCTGCCATAATTTGTCATTGACGTCTTCATGCAGTAATTTTGTATGGGGGTAGGTATCTAAGTACAACACACACCTGAACTCAAACTGATGCTCATTTGAGATTTTAGTTCCCAGTCGTTCGGCACTGATTAAAATCCGTTGTACCTAGAAATTTAATTAAGATCTGCTAAAAATATGCACATCTAAATGATTTAAGATAGTACAAGGTGATTGCAAGATACAAGGTTCAAATTTTTTTGAAACGAGAAAAGAAAACGTTTAACTGCTAGCATTCTTTTATAAATCTCACTTTAATTAGTATATTACTTGCTTTACAGATTGATGCGGGGTTATGGTTGTGGGACACTTCATCAATGACCGAATAGAAATCCTGCTATAGAATACTACTCAGAAATATTTAGCTATTAAAGTTCAAACGAATTATGCTAGTGTTATCTGATAACTAATCCCTTTGCCAACATTACACTTCGCTATCAATATACGTACTGATGTATTACGTGCTACACGTCTGTTTTCCTTATAGCTGGGCTATAGCTGCAACACGTCTGTTTCCTTTATAGCTGGGCTATAGCTTAGCTGAATTATACGTCTGTTTTCTTTATAGCTGGGCTATAGCTTAGCTAGTTCGGGAGTCTAGCTAGATGTAGGAGAATCTGCCAGAGATTTCTCGGGAGTCTAGCTAGATGTTGGAGAATCTGCCATAGAGACTATCTTGCCATCGAGATTTCTGAGTCAGTCAGGCTTTACTAAGGTGTTTAGCTGGTTCTGGGAGTCTAGCTAGATGTAGGAGGATCTCCCATTGAGATTTCTGAGTCAGTCAGGCTTTACTAGCGTAGCTAGTATTTCTGAGTCAGTCAGGCTTTACTAGCGTAGCAATCCGTGGAGCTATAGCTTAGCTGTTCTGGGAGTCTAGCTAGGTGTTGGAGAATCTGCCATAGAGATTTCGGTCAGGCTTTACTAGCGTAGCAATCCGCTACAATGCAATCCGGTCAGGCTTTACTAAGGTAGCAATCCGTTACAATTCTCAACCGGTCTGGCTTTACTAAGGTAGCAATCCGCTACAAGTCTTTAACCAGGAGGCTTTACGAAGGTAGCAATCCGCTACATGTTCGAGACTTAGGGAGCAATCCGCTACAAGTCTACAAAACAATATACATAACTATCGTAGCAATCCGCTACATGGTAAAGGGAATTTGTAATAAACCTCACCCTAGTTCCCCCTCCAATTTAAAAACTAATTTCTTTGCTTCGTATGTAACTAATTGATTTGGATTTTGCTATCCTCATTAATCTTCTACAATCACAAGCATAGTTACTAGATTGGCAAAAATTATTGAGCCAGAAACATAGTAATAATCTAAAATTCTAAGTTTGAAGTATAATTTAGCCAAAATTTTAATGATCATATATTTATATTTTATATTTTACCTTGAACTAATTTATAAGTTATCTAACTCATAAATCTGGAAGAGCACATTGTATTCTCCCATTGGACTCATGAGCAGTTATCACAATTTGCCCATATATATTACGGTTCTTTTTCGTTTTACATACTGAAATCGAGTTGAGTACGATGGATATCTTGTTTAATTTTGGATTTATTCCCAATTAACTCGCCTAGTTAAGTACATATTTAGGATTTATGCTAATAAAGATATTGTTCATCATTTGCGAAGTCAACTAATTCTTCATTATGCTTCTTAATAAAATCAATCTGCCCTGACCCAAGTGGAAAATCAATGCTTCATTTACCTACAGCTTGGTACGATTTGCTTACTGAACACTATTTATTTATATAAAATGGCAGGCTTTATGATAGGCATCATTAGCCCTTTAGTTGACTTCGAGCTTCACAGAGAGGAGGAGGAACATCAAAGTGTCAAAAAGTGGAGAGGGGGAACCGATGTGTGATTCACGGATGTAAAGAGGCAGACGCAGAGGTAGTGAAAATGTTAGGTGAGATGAATTCTGTGGAAGTGGCCGAATATGACATTCAGTCTGTTCACAGTAGTTTGAAGTCAACTGCCGGTTCATGAACTTTATTGTCGTATGAGAATACATTGCCCAGGGAGCACCATGTGGAGGTAAGTGTATCGCGCACCCCTGAACACTATTTTGGAAAGCCTAAATAAGCTGAATAAAATTTATAATCGAGCAAATTCAGATATAGCCAAATCCAATTAAATTTCCTCCATATTTATTGAATCTTATCACACAAACAATCTTTTAAATAACAACTATTTTTCCATGAAATAGTGAGCATTTGAGCATTGAGAATCATATTTAGACGATTTTCCTCGAAATTTGCCATAAATTTTGATTTGGACGGAAATTTACCCCTGATCAGAAATGAGAGATTGAGCCCACGTCTGTAAAAATGACAAACTGTCAGCAAGATTAGATGTAGACGAAAAGGGATTACACAAATACAGGATGATGTCAATAAATTATAAAGCTCGTAACGTTTTATGGATACACACAAGTTTTAATGAGTTAAATCAACATACCTGGAGAATGCAGATTCAATTAGTACATTTATTGACTTTAGTCATACAATTTCATACAATGAAAAAAAATCAAGTTTTCTGATCAGAGAAATCGTAAAGTTATAATACTAGTACTAGTAAACTGACATGATTTAAATATGCTTTGACGTTTGGCAGCGTTGGTTACCAATGTGTTTATATTGATGTCCACACCAGTACTTAGAAACACCGCTTGCATTTCAGTAGGTAAAAAGGATGAGTTTTGATTATTATAGAAACATATGGCCCTTTCGTAGGCTGCATCAATAATGTTAAATTAAATAAATTTATGAAATGCCCATAAAATGGCACTAAGCAAATCGAAACTATCTCGGAAAAAGTCGTAAGATAGGATAAAAAATACAAATAAGCGCTAACTTTACGAATAATGC